CAAACTTTCACCCGAAGAACTTTCGGCTGGAACTCCAGTCCGGCGGGAAATGCCATAAATATATCTTTATTCGTACGAGACGGCAGGGCACATTTCCCAAGCGTACAATTGACACATTTTTGTATTTCCTTGACGTTTGCATATAAAAATAACGAAATAAAATATGCGACTGTCGAGTGTCGAAGTGTGTGTCTGTCTGGATGGGTTTCGGGGCTCTAATGATTGCCGGGAACGTAGCTGCTACCTTGAAAATGATACGCTAGGGAATCATTAGGGGAAGCGTCATGGTGTGCCATAAATATTGCCAATAGACGACCCAAAGCCCATCGATAATAAGGTTAGAAAGCCATAAACCCACAAAGTCATCGACTATGCTACGGGGGGAGGGGCAGAGAAAGACTCTCATAAATGTGCCAAATTGGGTTTTCAACAATAAAATGCTAATGATTGATTCTCATGGCTCCATAGAGTGCTGTTAGTGGTGGATCCATCCCCATGCCCATCCCCATGCCCAATGGGGTTGTCTAATTTCTGCATAGCCGAACATTAAATTGGGGTTTTCGGTTTTCGGCTTCCTCCCGAGGCTTTTGCATTCGTAATTTTCTCTAAAGAAACAAGTGGAAGATGATCGAGAAGGGGTATGGACTGGCAATTACCCTTAGCTTTAAAGGGGCGGAATCGGAGTCAAATATACATTGGAAAATTCTAGGAAATTCTTTAAAAGCTAACGAAAGAGGGTATAGAACAGAAGATCATGATATATCTCTTTCGAAACCTCCAATTTAGACTCTATTCCATTGACATCGTCCCCGTGCAACCCATTAACCCTTGCACCATCATTCCGGATTACGAGGTATGACAGGACAGGAAAAATCCCTGTGTTGGCCATTTACAATTGGTCCGCAGTGCGGAACCTAAGCTAATGATGACTGGCATGCACAAATGTACAAATCTTAATTATGCAAATCACGGTCGCGCATAAATTATGCAAATTATAATGAAATTCCTCATTGCCAGCGACAGAGCTAGGACTCGGACCAGGACCCGGACCCGGACACCGAGCCCGAACCCGAACCCGGGCCCAGACCCAGAGGAGGACCATCTATATGTATATGTATTGATAAAAATGTGGCTATAAAATGAAAAAACCAAAAATTGTACATTTCCTTCTATTCTGTGATGCGGCGGCGGGGTTGAAAGTCGAAATTATTCCGGTGACCGACCGTTCGAGGGGCAGCGGAGGTTTAAACTAGGGTGGTGCCCGTAAATTGCAATGTAAATGCTGCATAAAAACTGAATTAGACCCGGAACAATTACAACAAGGGAGAGGAGAGTCCAAAGAGAGAGGGAGAGGGAACAGAGACCTATATAAAGAGAGAAAACTCTCACCATCACGGACCGAATGGTGCATTGCCTAGAGGGGCTGTCCAGATTACGGATTCTATTGAAAATAATGGCATACGGCTGCCACTGCACCGAACATCTGACACAATAATTTCCCCTACATTAATGCGGCCCGAAAGGCCACGGCGGAGGGGGGCAGGACAGGAAAAAGTCAAAGGACTGCCCGAAAGCCCACTTTGAGTAAATGCTCTGCCTCCTCTGGGAATCCTCAAACTTCGATCTCTAACAAGACGAAAAACTAATGTGTTTTGCTGAGACCACCCTTAAGTGCAGCTCATTTGGGAGATATACCCATAGATCCCATCAAAAATGCTGAATCCATGGATTGAAAAAACTTTCACAGGATTATATTTTCGGGAATGACTTTATTAATGCTTCTGGTACTTATTGAACATCGAGTCAAGTTCTGGTACGCTCTTGTGGCCTCCCAGCACTAGCCACTAGAGTATGGAAAGTGACACCGAAGCGTAGAATACACTTTCTTGTGATTGAAATATGAAAAACTCATTTCGAACTCTAGTTTCAAGTATATATACATATATCGGTGGTAATTGTGTGTTTTTGACTACTAAAACCTACTACTTTTCATACGAAATACTATCAGAACCCTTTTGATCTCTTTCCCTGAACCAAACAAAGTCTCTCATGGGCAATACCCCTTCAAAGTGTGTGAGAAAACCCACCGAAATATATTTGGCATGTGCCATTTATGGCATTGTTCCAACTTTGAACAATGCGATACCATAATTTCCAGGCAGCTCTCTCGAACAAATACATAGGACACCACCACCAGCAGCAGCAGCAGCGCCATCAGCACCACCGCCACACACAGATGCATCGAATGGCATGCAGATGTACTGTGATGTACGAGCTACGAGCTACGAGCTCTATGGCCTGTTCCTGTTCAACCCCCAAAGGCGATGGCTTTGTCGCCCTGCTCTCCTCCTCATCGCCATCGCCATCGTCATCATCGTCATCATCGGAATAGGCAGCGGGGCAAGGATCAGCAGGCAGCGAGCATGTGATTAGATTCAGTTTCAATGGAAATTGAAATCACAGACAAAGGACCCGGACCCGGACCCGGGCCCATGGACACGGGGATGAGAGGTAAGTGCCGAGCAGAGCAGAGCCGAGCAGAGCAGGGTTGCAAACAGGCAGGGGAGAGCGACGATAAAAATTCTTGGACAACAAGAAAAATTGCTATTTCAGAGAGCATTAAAAACTCTACTACCACTACCACTACAACAACTACTATTGCTGGCTGTGACTCATACAGTTTCGGCATTGAATTGGTACTGGGATTGGGAGATTATTGGGTGGGGGATGGGAGGAGGCTGCATTACAAGGGGACAACCACTAAACGTCAACCACCGGCGTCAACACCGAGGCCCGACCCACATTTTCATTTTTATATAGTGCTTCATAATATTCTCACACAGACGGAGATTAACACCCAGCCAACGACCAGGCCCGGAGCCCCGAGCCCGGCACAAATTTATAATCGACACCGACGCTGCGTCAGCGCTGCGCTGGCCGAGGCAGAGGCAGAGGCTGCTGCGACAGCGACAGAATCAGGAGAGCAGGAGCTAAAATGGAGAAGAAAAAAAATCGGAAAATCGTTATGCGACTACTGCTATAAACCACCACAAAATCGCGGTCGTCTGTTGTTGCCGGGAACCTCACACTCGCGCATCGCAGCGAATCGGACTCGGACTCGGACTCGGACTCGGAATCGGAATCCTCGGCTCTGACACGGCAGCCGCATTATAAATTGTTTGCGGTGCGTACGCTTTTAATATATTATTCGCATTTCTTTTCGGTCTGTGCGGTGGTTAATTTAAATAAATAATCCTTAAAGTGTGCCATCAAGAGAACATTGAAAAACAAGTGAAATACACAGAGGAATAAATTAATTATACAACAAACGATAAATATTTATTTATTTATGGCAATATATGTCTAGATTTGTGAAATGTTTACGTGTTTAATTGTTTAAAATATAGTTAAACATTTAAACTACAATATATAAACAAATGTTTCACTCTTGAGCGAAAAGCCACCTGGCAACAGCTTCGGGAAGCTCTAGTTTGCCCTAAAGCCCCGCCAGTTGGCGCCACGCCACCGCAGAGCTTCCACCCCCCATTGCCAGCAATTGAACAACCCTGGCAACTCTGCAAAACTGCTGTGACAGCAGTGACTACCCTGAAACCATTACACATCCCTTCATCTGGACAGCCCATCTTTATCCTTTCAGATCTGCAGAATCTACGAAATAAAAATGGATCCATCGAATCTGCCCTTCGGCTTTCCCGGGCTGCCAAACCACGGACACATGCCAATACCGCCGACGGCCAACATGCTGGGTGGAGGACATCCTGCGCCGACCGCCAGCCCACCCCAGAGCGTGCCCGGACGCCGCACTCCGTTGGGTTCCGTCGGTCTGGGGGGCTTCTACGCCCAGGGAATGGGCATGTCGCAGCAGAGCCTAGCACCAACGGATGAGAACAAGCCCGGACCGAGTGGACCGGACAAGCCGTTGAGTCCGACTGCGGCTGCGATTGCTGCCATCAGCGGCGGCACCACCACAGTGGCCCTGTCGAGTGGTTCGAGCGGCGGGCCCGGAGGCAGTGGCTCGAACGGGGGCAAGCAGAAGAACCGTCAGGGGAAAACCGTGCGATTGAACATAAATGCCAGGGAGCGCAGGCGGATGCACGATCTGAACGATGCCCTGGACGAGCTGAGGAGTGTGATTCCCTACGCCCACTCGCCGTCGGTGCGGAAGCTCTCGAAGATCGCCACCTTGCTGCTGGCCAAGAACTACATTCTCATGCAGCAGAATGCCCTCGAGGAGCTGCGAAGGTAAGACTGGATAGAATCCCACCTAAGTTCGGTTTCTCATGACATTCCACTTCTGTTGCAGACTTCTGGCGTACATTCAGACCACTACCGGATCCGCTCCTCTGGATTTGGGCGCCTTCCCGGCTGCGGCCAAGTTGCAGGCCCTGCTCCAGGGACCCCACCACGAGCCGCCCACCAGCAGCAGCAGTTAAACGTGTATTTCCCGTCTACGAGCATATGTTCTTCGGATAAGCAATCGATAAACAAGCAATTTTTTAAGTCAATTCGAAAAAGCCAAAAAATAATTCTAGTCAGACGAAACGGAGGTTGAGAAGATTCCTGTCCAGAGCAGCCCAGTGAGAATCTGTTGAGTGATATTTATTTCTTTAATAAGCAATTCTTTTGTGCGCATTTTTATGATGTCAGTGTACGATTATACGAGTACGAGTATGTATGCATAAGATGAACATTACCAAATAAAGTATTACGTATTTCATGATAAATCAAGAGTGGCATATACCATCTGGATCAAGTTTGAATTTGAGCGCATGAGAGTGTGGAAATTCCTTGTCCGCAGCTGCAATCCGCACTTTCGGATGAGCGGAGTTTTTAGTATTTGGCTCGTACTCGGTGTACGCGTGGGCGTGTGCGTTGTCTACCATTTTCTCTGAGAGTCCCCTCAACTGTTGACTGGTTTGATGGGTTGCTTCCCTTCCCAAACCTTAACCCTTTGAAATATCAAAATTCAAACACCACAATAACTATTAAAATACAATAATTTAATCTTAATTCCGTTTCAAGTCTTGACAAAACAATTTAAACACACAAAATATATAAATATTCGCTGAGCGACAGGCGATGATTAGGCAAAGGCGGTTTGCGGATTGCGAAACTGGAAACTGATTAGCTTTAGGAACGAAGTAGAATACTCTTAAGAGATACATATATATACAAATAACGTAGTACGAGTGTGTATGGGAATGTGCGTAGATGGACGGCGGCATTGCGAGTGGATCGAAGAGGAAGTGAAGTGAAGTGATCGGCGGATCGGTGGATCGGCTGACACTATTCCGGTATGCCCGAGGACAGCACCCTGTTGTTGTGGGTCGTCCGAAAGATGCGCTGCGGTTCGGGTAGCTCCCCGATCAGGAACTGGCGCATCTGCTCAATGGCAGCCCGGGAATGGCCAGTGCCGTGGAACGCAATGGTGGCATCGCGTCCGGCATGGTCCATGATCACATCGACACCGCCGGGGTGGTCGCGCAGGAACAGAGTGACGTCGTACACCCGATCGTAGATCACAATCCAGCAGTCGTCGTAGCTGTCGTGCTGGGCCACCTCCTCCAGCGCGATCTCCGGCAGCTCCTCTCCCTTGAGCAGCGTCTTCTCCGTGGCAACGACCACAACATTCTTGCTGGCTTTGCCGTGTCCCAGCGGCACAATGCGCAGAGATTGCAAGAGATTCGTCAGCGCCGACGACATTTTTACACGTGACAGATTCACTTTCACTTTTTTCCCGGTACTATGATTTCTGCAGTCGCCGTCGAAACCCGTCTTGTCTGAGTTGATGTTCTGCTTGAGCGGTTGGGCCTGGGGTCCAGTTTCGTTGCGTCTTGGGTCGCCACTGGCAGTCGAGTGTCATTCATGCCGACGATTGTAATCGTTTTATAAATGAAAACACGTGAATCGAGCGAATCGATCCAAACAGAGAGCTGATAAGGCTTCGGGATTGAACGATCGAAGAACCGAAGCACCGAAGCACCGAAGATCCAACGATCCGATGAGACGAAGCTCCGCTGCTTCGGCGATGACTATATTATATAGCTATTAATCCACATTAAGGCATTAAGGCAAACGTGTTTTCATTAATATTCATGGGAGGGCCTCCAATTGCGATGATATTTAATAACAATAACAATTACTAGAACTAGTACTAGTACTCCCACTAGTCGATAACAAACTTGTTCTCTTCGCAAACCTGTTAATTACCCAATTAATCTGGATTACTTAAAAGGGAAACACTTGGGGCCTTATCAGTATTTCAATTGATTTATTGGCCCAAGTCAAACGTGCATCGGTGCAACGCAAAAACATTTACAGGTTAATAGCTTCGAAAAAATGCTGAGAGGAGGCGTTCGAAAGCCCACCAATCAACGCAGTCCTACGATTATAACTACTCCGATCTGAGGCTTGTCCCCATTTTAAATTGAAATGGGAACAGCGATAACTATTTCTGTACTATCGCTGAATAAAACTTTGAACTTGAAAACGCTTGGCTTTGAGTTTGGAAATAATGCCACGCTTTTGAACTATTCAACTATCTGCGAGATTTTTCTATAATCAAAAGTTATGAAACCCCAGGGCTGATGAAATATATTCATCAATTTCTAGTAAAGCCAGACAAAAAATAACAAATCACAAATCACAAACTGCAAAGCAAACTAAAAATTCCCACTACGCCATAAATACATAGGAACAAAAAATAACTATAAGATTTTGCATAACAAAAATATTATTCACCTCTGGGAAAACGTCACAGAAATCTCGAATTTCGAATGATGTTCGGTTTTGGTAACTCAATAATCTAACCACACAAAATGTTTGATGAAAGAGATGGAGAACTGGGCTAAGGCTTGACTTTGACCTTGAGGTCGGTCTGCAGTCGTATGAAATATCGTTTGGAACAAGCCAGAGATCGATGCAGCCACAGTGGGTATACGGTGTGAATCTAGGCTCCATTTGAACCCCATTAGTGGGGTTATCACTCAAGAACTGTGCGTCAGATTTTGGGTAAGCGTCGATGTCATGTCCCAAAAAAATGATGTCGCGTCACAATCAGAATAGTCCAAATAAAGATTACTAAACGGTCAAAGATCGGATTTTATATTGTTTCAAATTAGTTTCGAGATTACAGGAAAAGTGATAATATTCATGGATATTGCATAAAATTTAGATTTGGATGCGGGTCTCAGTATTAATGAAATAAGAGAAAAGTACACTCAGAAATATCAGCATATAATGATTAGTAATCATTATTTTGTTGGGATGTTGTTGAGACTCGGGGGGTAAAGATCTGTGCAGAATTTCAATGTATTTCCAACGTGAAAAAGCTGAATTAATGCCTATTCATTACCTCTTCTGATAAGGAGGGAAGCAGCCTGTCTGTCTCGAATCAGAATGGTATAATCTCGAGTCATTACTAGATACCACACCGGGCACTGTTCCTTAGGACTTCACGTCTATGGATTCTGTGAAATGGAGCAGGAAACATCGGAAAACATCCTATTTGAATGCCCTGCACTGCTCTGCAGCCCCTCACACCTAAATATTTTCCACAATTGTAAAAAAAAGCCAATCGCCCGTGCCATGAATTCGATCGAAACATGTAAAATGCCAGCCACAAGGAGTTTTACTGAAAATATGGCAGACAGTTTTCAGTTCCAGTCGAGTAAACAAGTGACAAAAATATTCGGAATAAATATTTTAGTGCATTTTTTTTGTTTTTTTTTTCGGTAATCTCTCCGTCTGCCTTTTTTCTCTACAATTATGGGTTGTAGTTCAAAGCCGCAAAAAAAATACAGGGCCCAAAAAGTGGGACCAGTCACTAAAAACGGGTACCTGAACTACCTGCGGATCTTCAAGAAGAAGCACTGCGGCCTGTCGCCCCGGGAGATGATCAGCAAAGGAGCCAAGGCCTGGAATGCCCTGAGCTGCGAGCAGAAGGCGAGCTTCCGCAAGAAGACCAAGTCGGGAAGGAGGTCTCGCGGCAAGAAATGTGAGTACATCTCGAAAAAGTGGTTTACATTTAGTTGATTATCCACACCGAATCCCATTCTTAGCCGGGTGCAAGCCCAAGCGTTGCTGAACCGCGAGGGCTCTCCAGAATATCCTACGGGTTGTGCATGATTCTATTCTCAAAATTTCAAGTGATTGTCTAGTTCCGATATGGGTGTTTCCAGCTGTTGCTTTCCACCGTTTCCGGGTTCCATTAAGCAGGTTAGTTCTAATGCTATATAGAATGTATCTTAAGCTTCACTTGGGTATCCAACATTTCATCCTAGGTCCCATCAAAGCCGAATCTTGCCCTTAAATGGCCAACGGATTTCAGCTTTTCGATGCGGGAGTTTCCATTTGTAATCTGCCTTTGTAAAAGTTTCCCCAAAGTTTCTGTATGATGAAAATGGCAGCAAGAGAGATGTGCGTGTAATTTTTGTAATTTATGAGTATTATTGAAAATCTGTAAGTGAATAAACGGCTTTAGCAGAACCAAAAGCTAACAAGACTTGCTCAAGAATTTTTCCCATTTTATCGCTGAATAAAGCTTTGAATTTGGAAATAGTCCACTTTTGAACTATCTGTTAATCAGAATGATCAATTTCTAGAAAATCCAGACAAAACAAGTCATAAATTGCACAGCAAGCTACAAATTCCCACTACGCCATAGACACGAAACTAATTATAAGATTTGTTCTAGTAAAAACCTCACAGAAATCTCGAGTTTCGATTGGGGGCAAGTGGCGATGCTCGGTTTTGGTAATTCAATAATCTAACCACACAAAATGTTTGATGGAAGAGCTCTAGGAGGGAGAACTGGGCTAAGGCTTGACTTTGACTTTGAGGTCGGGCCGCAGTCGTATTAAATATCGTTTCGAAGCCAGAGAACGATGGCACCCCAGTGGGTATACGGTGTGAATCTAGGCTCCATTTGAACCCCATTTGTGGGGTTATCGTTCAAAAATGTAGCGTCAGTTTTTGGGTAAGCGACGATGTCATGTCCCAAACAAATGATGTCGCGTCACAATCAGAATAGTCCAAATAAAGATTATTATAAGGTCGAAGATCGGAATTTAGATTGTTTCAGAATTGCTTTGAGATTAAGTTTTCGCTTGCTTTGGTTTTCAAGTCCATGGAACTCGTAAGTTAAAGCGAGTATAGACTGGAACGAAGTGATAATGAGAGAGTACACGCGTACTTTCAAGTCCATGGGCACTGCCCAAAAAAGAGCCATAGATGCGGATTCTTACGATTTCTTCGGGTTTAGAGAGCGATGAATACTATTCGAAAAGCCCACAGCCCACAGCCACGTGGCAACGTTGAGCCACTGGGAGGAAAGCTCTTCTAAGCGCGACGCTTTTATCCAGGCAACGCACTCCCCGTTGGGCGGGCTTTTCCAAATGTGCCAGCTGTTGCTTTCCGGAGAGCTTCCAAGATGGGGGGGATTTGCCGCCGATTAGTGGAGGATTGCTGGGGTTACAGAATATATCCCGTACTTAACTTGTTTAATCTAATTATCAAACATTCCTCTGTAGTTTCCATCAGCGACTGACTCGAGCTCGAGTTTTGGGATGCCGGAACTTCCTTCCGCATTGCATCTGCGAAAGTTTCCCCCCAAAAGTATCTGTGTGGCTTTCACCTACGGGTGTGTTTGGGGGAAATGACATCGAGGGAACTGCGTGTAATTTTGGGCCAGCCACCGACGAAACAGTCGAGTTTCAGCCACGCACCGACCAAGTTGTTCGAGCGCGTGAGTCCCCGACCTGCCCAGTGGATATATTGTTTAAAATCACTTGATAACCGTGCCGTAACGCGCCGTAAACTCAATCAAAAATTTATGAACGGACTGCTAATAAGGAAATTGTTCTCGTAAATTCATCAGGAGCCCCAAAGAACGGTCGGTATGCGTGTCCTCTAGAGCATATTGCGCATTCGCCACGTTGAGCGCACAGGATTTTGGAAACATATTGTGGCGGAAAACACACAAAATGCACTATACTTTGTGTCTCCGATTTGTAAATAATAAACAGCCAGCTGGCTGCTTTCCATTTGCATACAAATTTGGCGATAAAATTCCGATTTGAACTCCAGCCAGAAACGGGTTGACTCGGCAAACAGATTACACGGAATTATGTTTAGGTTTTATTGACTCCAAGTTGTTGTCTAATGTTTGCTCGCGATGGGAACTTGTTGGGGGAGAACTAAATTGCTTTTCCAGCGACGCGACTGGCGAAAGTTTAAGTGAAAAAGTTTAGTTCTGTGAAAGTTACAGCATGTTATGTTGTGTGGGGGGGGAGGGGGGGAAATTCCAGCAAAAGGTTTAGTTTCCCGCATTGACGGATGGGTTTAGGATTACCCCAGGGGCGGCACTTCAAAGGAAAAGTCGCCGGAACAATGGGAACTTTCCTTCAAGGGGAATACGAAATGCAGGGAAGCCAAAGGCCACGGATTTCTCTCCGATTTGGTAATCGATCTTTAAGATATGTAAATGTTTGCTTAAAAAATGAGTGGAGGCGTAACACACCTTCCCGAATAGCTCTTGGATATCTAAGCACACAGACTCTTCTCTGCTGATTACAGATTAGCCTGATTGCATTGCGTATACGAGCCGTGCGCCGCGGTGTGCATTTCCTCTGAAGCCCACATTATTTTTAATTAAATTACTCTGCAGCTTCTGTAGGATGCCAACATATGCTGGCATTTCCATGCTCCCTGGCAGTGCTTCGGAAAAGCCAGCAAGGACTTCTTCCGTCGAGAAATTACTGCGCCGGCGGCTGTTTGAACCTGGGCGAAACTCTGAGCCACTCAAACACGGGCCTGGGTCCTTGAAACACCCGTATTTGGCCCTGACCCTCAGTGGCACCTCGACCTAGACCTCGGGCTCTGTTTCGACCTTCGGCTTGCCCGAAACAAATTGCGTGTCGGGCGGGCAACAGGCTGCATTTAAAAAGTGCATACATTACAGGACACAGGACACGGGACACGGCCAGCAGCCATGAATATTTATCACGTGCCCAAAGATTAATGCATCTTTAATGCAAAAACCTACCGCACAAAAGCCCCAAGATAGACGACTCGGGGGTGCCCATAAAGAAGCCAAGCGGCCATGTTTGCTAACTTGTTGAGTTATTGGCAGCCCAGGCAGGGCTTCGGCCTGGGGCAGCGGCAGCGGCAGGGAGGGAGGGGTCCCAGGGGTCGAGGCGGAGTGTGTGCTCGAGGCCAAGGGTTCTGCTCTGTTCTGTTGGCTTTTGTTCCGAGAACAAGTATTAATATCACACTTATTATTTCCGTTTCGGCTTCAGCCGCTTGTACGCATATCTTGGGTATTTTTTGCTTTTTAATGAGCATTTTATTGTTTATTTTTACGCTCCTCTCGGCTCTCCTCTCGGCTCTTGGCTCGGCTCTTGGGCCCATAACTTTGGGTCACTTTATTAAATTGCTGTTTATCTTGCTGTCGCATTTCTCCACTCTCTTGTATTTTATTTTCAATATTTGCAGTCAGTCCCGGCCCCCCTTCCCGCCCCCCTTCTCGAGGTTTAATGGCCTGTGGTTAAAGGAAATATGGTTGTTGATTTTAATGGAACATTTTATTCGCATGCGGGACGAGTGTTTCAGGCCGGTTTCTTGTGGGAAATAAAAGGCTTGAAAGTTGCGGGAAAATTCCAGGAAACTTGCTGAATGAATATATCGCCAGATAATGGGTTTTCTTTGGAAATTGTTTTCCTTGATTGACATTTCGCTCCGAAGAGCCTCTCAATGGCTGTGAATAGCCTTTTCGGCTCTCGGCCAAGCCCTTAACGCACAATCCCTCATCCCTTCATCCCTTTATGCCATAAATAACAAACATTGATGGCTAATTAAGCAGGTCCGGGGGATGGGCACAGCCTCCAATTTGCCAGGCTCTGCACAGCCCTTGCCGGCGGATAATCAACTCGAATAACAAGACAAGACAAAACGGAAGAGTGCTCGACGGGGAGATACTCTACAAGTCTCTAGATCTCGTTTCAGATCGTTGTGTTCACCTTCAACACTCTATGCCCCACATACCCTGTAGACAAAGCCGACAAAACAGTCCTAGATGGCACACGATAATGATGTTGTTGATGCCGACAAGCCAGCACCTTCTCTGTGTCATTCCAGCGGGCATTACAAATGGCTGTTGGCAGTCTATTGACGGAACAGACCCTGGCATGACTCTGCTGCCCCCTCCCTGACCGGGGGAGCATTCATCAACTCCCCCCATCCCCACCACCCCCCCGGATATGATGGGCAAACTTCTGCTGCTTGTTTATGCACACAGAAGGTTGCCCTCTCCAAATAACAGGGGGGTGAGACATTGCTGCAGTTTACGGATAAGCTAGGGCGGAGAAAGCCGAGCTGCTGGCAAAGGTACGCGCAAAGACTCCTCCTGCGAAAGGCATGGCCAAGGATTCCCAGGAAGGCAGCCTTCGTATAGTTGGCACATTTGTATTAAAGCATTCCTTCCGCTGCAAAGAGCACAAGTGGCACTGTTCTCCGCCACTGCGGATGGCTTTGTCCCAGCGACAGACAGGCAAACACGCGCCACCACACGGACCCGTGGCCATAATCTAATTACTGTCCCAGACCAGCAAAACACGTACCACCTGAGGAAGCAGACGCCGCACAGAGCTTCAGAGGGAAGCTCTTACCAAAGAGAAAGCCCGCAGTCGGAGTCGCATTCCTGAGAGGCAGACAAAGGCGGAGACAGACAGATTGTTTCCGGATCTGAAAGATGATAGTATAATGGCTTTGATGTCACATGTTTTACTTAATTAATGGGCTTTTCGTAGGAAAAAAGAAAGAAGCCTCTCCTCACATGAATCAAAGATGTTTTCTGTGCTGTTTTGGGCTGTGAAGACGAGCCGAAGGATGAAAGATATCTTCTATGGAGAATTTTAGCTTGAATTTCCAGAATCTGTGGATAACTACTGACCCACAAAGATTACAGGGTATATTCCACGCAGGAGGGGCGTTTGTCTGTCGCAAAAATTGGGTCTTTGAGCCACAAAACACTTCATTAGACTAATGAACATAATTTGCCATAATTGTGCAATTTGAGGGCGCTGCGAGCGTGGCGAAAAAGATACATTTTAAAGCTAGAAGCTAGAAGGGAAGGGCATTTCTATGATGAAATCGTTGGCCAAAGTTGAAAGAAATCACGGGTGGGGGAGGGGGAAAGGGAACGGCAACAGGCAGTGAACCATGCGGTTGATTTTATCGATTAGATAAACTTAATTTTAGTCACTCTGTCAACACATTACGGCCTGGACTTGTGGACTTGCGGACAGCTGGCCCACAATTGGGGGAGTGGGGGGTGTGTGGGGCGTGCGGCGGCCCCCCGAATGGCCTTGACTTTGCACACATTAGCGGAAGTAGTGCCTGCGACTCTTATCTGAAGGCTCAAGGCTCGAGCCCGGCCAAAAAGTGAAAATGTGTCCGATAAAAGCCAGAGAAATGATTTACAAAGCCAGCGCTCACTCAACCAACAGACCGTCGAGGCGGCCAGACCTTCGGCAGAAGGGCTGCAGAGCGCTGTGCGGTTTCTCTATTAAAATTTACGACAATGCCCATAAATCCCTATACACATATATAATACATATGTAACAAATGTGGCAGCGACAGATGAAAGCTCGAAAATTCATTTAAACACACGGCCGCGCACTCGTATCCGTCGGGACGAAACATTTTGTAGCGGGCGAGCGTCAAGCGAAAAACCTCAAAAAAGATACGAGATTTTTTGGCTGAAGGTTGAAGGTGAACCAGTGAATGCCCTTTCTCTGATTAAACGAGATAAAGGGCATAGAAATTGGATTGTAACAGCAATAGATACTATATCTTCGGAGCGAATATCTAAAATTTCATTGATTTCTGTGGCTTTTTCGGAAGGATTTGGCTTCAATATTCAATTTCAAAGTATTGTATAGAAGAGATTCCATTCTTTGAGCTATCATTCCTATTGTATCTTCACTACAAAGTGATCTGAAAGTATCTTTCATATCAAAACCCCCAAACGGAATGTTGAGGAATAGAAGAGGGACATTCAGGAGGGAAATACTTTCCTTTCCAAGGCACAAACGTCGAGTAAAAACCAAACAACCCTTTGTAAGAGTACTCAAATTGTTTGAGCGACCTCGAACCCAACATTTTGAGTGACTGACTGATGATGCAGGGCGTGGCAGCTCCTCTGTGATCCGCCCAATTTGACATTGATTGGGTTATGTGTGATTTACATGGCCTCCCTGCTCCGTGCTCCGTGCTCCCTCCTCCATCCTCCAGCCGAGCCACCGGTGATATCGGTTCGATGGCATTTTGCGTGATATTTCCCAGGGGATTACCGAGGGATTGACAGGCAAATAGATTCCGAATTTCACTGGAAACGGCTGCATAATGCACTTAAGCGGGATATGCCGTGTTTTCCCTTCGATTTATGGGGCCACAGCCCCCTGCAGGTACCCTGCTTATCGCTCGGTAAACTGTCAAACTTGAAATTAGAACTAATTTCATAAATTACTTTCGGTGGCAGCAGCAGTCCTCCCACGCAGCAGTCCCAAGATGAGGCCGAAAAAACCCTCACTGGCTGCCCCCAATGCCCAGATCCACACATAAGGGGGCACATAAATCATTCCGCAGAGATTTTACAGAATGAAATTCCCATTCCTATGGGGGGGGGGGGGGGGGGGGGGGGGGGGAGTCGCCTCCCAGGCTCGGGTCCAGCCCGCACACAGCACACCTCTCATGCAATTGCCATTAAAGAAAGGGAAACCCGAAAACAAAAGTTGCCCTTGAATAAATAATAAACTCGGGAGCAAATTTTGCGGGAATTTCCAGGGAAGGGCGGGCAGAAGGTAGTGGCATTTGGGCCATCAAACGAATGCAGGCCCCCCCAACCCCCCGTCCAGAGGTGGCCGTAGCATTCTCCTAAATATACTTACTAATTAATTAACAATTCGGTTATAAATTTTTCAACTGCTTAGACAGACAGACGTCGGACCCAACTCCGGGCCTCTGCAGTTCTTTAAACTTCCGCATATAGGATCTTGGGGATTTGCGGGATTGTGTGGCTGGTAGTTGCGGGGTCACCTGGCGGTTTGCTCGGCTAATTGCTAGCTAAACCGAGGTCGAGGCGGGGGCGGGGGCTGGGACTGGGGCTGAGGCGCCTTTATGGGCAATTTGGTGGCGGCGGTTGAACAAAGACCAGGCCTGGCCTTCGTTTCTCTTCTCTTTTGATGCTGGGGGAGTGGAAAAACGTTGGTCCTTGTGGTTACTAGGCGACCTGGGGACTGGGAAAACTGTCAGCACGTGCCTGTGGCCACCTTAAGCCGCTCAATTAATAACCCCAGGCCAACCACCAGGCAGGGGCAGGAGCAGGGGCAGGCTTTGATTTATTTATGAGACTCATCCCGTAGTCCTGTAGTCCCGTAGTCCTGACTTGCCAATGAATGTTTTATGGCTAGTTTGGGTGTCATTAGGCGATGTCGAAGTCGGGTCGTGTGAAGGAATTGAACCACGTTTTGCCCCCCTCTCTCCTGCAGCCACAGCCATGGACATTGTCATTCGCGAGGAGGACATTTCGCTGGCCCAGATCGGGGTCTACGCCTCGGTCTCCTTTCTGGTGGTGTCGGCCGTGGGAGCGGCTCTCTACACCACCTGCTCGAGGCGCTACCGTCTCAACTGGTTCGAGCAGAACCTCCTGGAGTCGGCCAACGAAAAGGACGAGGATCAGCAGAGGTACTCGTACTGGCCTGAGCCCCCACCGTTTTTCCCAAGTCAATATCCCTCTCTATCTCTGCAGCAGGGAGGCCCTGGTGGCTGGTGCCGCCGGCTACAATGTGGACAACCTCAACGAGTGCTCGCGCGGAAATCTGAGTCCCACTTCCCTGAAGAACGACGAGAACGACCCGGCCTTCTGGGTGCCGGCCTCGGTGACTTCCACGGCCGCCATCCAGCAACAAGTGTCCAACACCACGGAGGAGTCGGCCCCGCCCACTCCCACCTCGCCCACTGGCAGCCTCAAGTCGAACACCCTGTCCCTGTGCTCCACCGCCTCCGTGCCCATCGCCCGATCGGACAAGCACGTCGTCCTGGCCATGCACCCGACGCGTCCCCGCGTCTCCTCCATGAACGCCAAATTGGATCACACCAAAATCGACATGACCCTGTACAGAAGCGTAAGTGTAATCTTCTCCTCGAGGATTTCTCCATACTTGAAGCTTTTGTGTTGCAGCACGCTCAGCCAAAGACCTTGGACCCCGCTCCGGCCATCGAAGTGCGTGGAAATCTGCACGTGGGCATCAGCTACGATCCTGTGGGGGGTCTGCTCAACGTGCGACTGCTGGAGGCTCAGAACCTGCAGCCCAGGCAGTTCAGTGGCTCTGCTGATCCGTACGCCAAGGTGCGCCTCTTGCCCGACAAAAAGAACTTTTGGCAGACGCGCATTCACAAGAAGACCCTGAATCCAGGTGGGAATTAGATGAATCCCCATCCCCACCCCACTATCATTCCTTCTCTTCCTTCAGTTTTCGACGAGCACTTTGTCTTTGAGGTGGCCGCTGGGGTCATCGACAAGCGAACTGTGGAGATTCTCTTGTACGACTTTGATGCCTACTCGCGGCACGTGTGCATTGGCGGCACGAAGCTCCACTTGGCGAACATCGATCTGAGCGAACAACTGCAGCTGTGGACGCCCTTGAGCTCTGCCTCGGCCCAGGACATGAAAGTGGATTTGGGGGACATAATGGTGTCCCTGGCCTACCTTCCCTCGGCCGAACGCCTGATGGTGGTGCTGATCAAGGCCAGAAATCTGCGGATTGTGGACGATGCCAGGAACTCCTCCGATCCGTACGTGAAGGTGACTCTCCTCGGACCTGTGGGCAAGAAAATGAAGAAGCGCAAGACCGGCGTACAGCGGAGCACCGTCAATCCTGTGTACAACGAGGCCCTGGCCTTTGATGTCAACAAGGAGACGCTGAAGAACTGCGTGCTCGAGTTTACTGTCGTCCACGACGGTCTTTTGGGTATGTGGAACGCAAGTTTTCATCGGGTTTTCCCTGTGTAATCGATGATTTTCCCACAGGATCGAGCGAAATCTTGGGCCGCACTCTCATCGGCAACTCGTCCGAGGTGCGCACTGAGGAGAAGATCTTCTTCGAGGAGATGTTTCGCGCCAAGAATGCCACCGCGCAATGGGTTCCACTCCAGGAGCCAGCCACCAATTTGGCCAATGCAGCCAAGTCCACCACCAACAAGAACTAGCTTCCACAGCTCGGTTTGTGTCTGAGATGAGGTCGAACTGCTTGGTGGAACGTAAGACGCATGTAGAACTCAATGGTTCCGCAAACAGTCGTGGCGCATTTGGCGCCACTGTACGATGCATGCGACATGTCAAGTGGATGTAAAATTGCCAAATTTTGGGCATTTCCAGCCAAAAAAAACTTCTATATTTCCAATTTATATCGGACCGACTCTTAAAAACTAACAAATTAAGTTCAATTTACTGCAACTCAGCTACAACAAAAAAACAGGTAAAAATTGTAAAGGTGGGCCACGAAGGAAAGTAACGTAAATGTAGATGTAGAAAAGAGGAGAAAATATTTTCAAAAATTTTTAAAAAATCAACAAAACAATCAAATCGAACTTGGAAACAAAGGGAACTGCAGGGATACGTTTTAAGAAGGATGTCTGAATCGGTAAAAAGAGTGTCAAATGGTATTTTCCAAAATCTAACCTAAATCAAATACTTTGTGCTTTCCAATGGTATCAATTAATCAAAGAATATATACAATACATATACGCTAATCGTATGCTTAAATATTTATGAAACATTGTCTATTATATACACATGCAAGTTTCTTAGAGGAAAATTTCGTAGGAGAAAAGCTTTTTATGATTTGGTCGTTTTCCAGGAGTTGGTTTCAGGGCAAAGAGGGCACAAAGTGGTTGAAAGCGAACGTTCGAATATGATTTCGAATGCAGGTATACAAGTATGTGTATGTATGTGTATTTTAGAAAATATAATCCAATCTATTGCAGTAGAAATCTATGGTATATATGTATATGAACTTGTATCTGATATATAGAGTCAATATAATAGATTTAGTTTGAGAGCACTATGTATTCCATATTCGTGTATGTCCTATCTATTGGAAATAAAACACTTGAAAGTATCTTAGATATAAAATGGGGATACGAATTCTTTTTTTTAAATAATATTTAGTGGAAGGCACAAGGCTGTTCTATAGGAGAGGGCGTTAGGACTAGCTCTATTTATACCTCAGAATTCCACCCAAGATAAGAGTAGATAAGAGTATCATTTGGGGAAAAAGATGCAATGGTTTCATACCTATTTCTAGAGGTAGGAGGAAACTCCACAAGCCAGAATCCCTATCCCTAGGCTGTGATCGAAATTTAGTCATTTTCTGATACGATATTGTGTATTGATCCACATTCTTCTGGTTTTTTAATCATCTCGTCCTGTACCTGCAACAATCTCTCTGAAAACCGATCTTCAAAGGGCAGCTTTAGGAAAATCCCTAAGCTTAAGGCTTTCCTTTCCCCACTAAAAAAATTATGGAAGCCTTTCGGGTCTAAATTTCACTTTGAAGCAGCATCTGAAAGCGGAAACAATGGGAAATGGCAAGCAAATAATTTAACTATCCTCACGGTGTGATTTTGCGAGTATCTCTAAATCGAATCGAGCCTTCTATCGGGGGGTCGGTGGGTGGCTCTGTGGGTCGGTGGGTCAGTTTGCTTTGCAGTCGTTATCCCGGGGTCACTACATAATGCGAGCAGATACTCGTGCTCGGACTTTGTTGAAATTCCAGGCGAACGTTTCCGGTGAGCAGCCCATGCCCCACGCCCCACGCCCCCTGCCCCCTGCCACTGTGTGGCGCCACAACAGCTCTTTGCTCTTGGCAATAGTTCAAAGTTGGCTTTGCAGCTTTGCCTCACACTCGGTGTCGTGGTGTCGTGGTGTCGTGGCAGCCGGCTACTTACCTCGTCGCCGGCCCCTCCCCCGCCCCCGCCGACGCCCCGCAAATTGAATGGAAGCACATTTTGATTGAAAAGGAAATTTACGGTGAACTTATAGACAGATTCCCCCGGTTTCCCCCCCTGTGGCGTCTCCGTCACCTCTTGCATGGCTGCTTTAACAGCCAATGTAGCGAGGCCCCCTGCCCCCGCCCCATGCCCCCTCCCCTTCGATCTATCAGTGAATGTTGGAAAATTAGTTAACGGGTTTGCGGTAAAGTTTTTTCTGCCCCTAGCCCGGTCAACAAGTTGGCCAACAGAAAATATTTAAGTCCACCCAAAAGAAGATTAGGAAAAGGGCCAATCGATGGGAATTCTTTTGGTTTCGGCCCAGGCCATTGAATGGCAAATCGGGGCCAAAACCTCAACCTCATTTCAAGTTTTAAATTAATTTAAGAATCCAAAGAGTTGGCCAGCGAAACGTTTAGGCGGAATTAAAATTAAAGTGGAATCATTATAAGTAGTTTATTCTTATCTATAACAAAGTATAGAACTTTTACACTTAAAGAAAATATTCCAGTGAAATTAGAGCACATTTAAAGAGTTTTATCTTTACTCTACTTGAGGTACAGTCGTACTTCTCAATGAAGAACTATCGTATAACAAATTTTTCTAAATAATGAATTTATTTCCAGAAAACCGAAATTTCTTTAAATTTTCAGTACATTTTGCTCTAATTATAACGAATTTCCTTATAGAAAATATTTCTTCACTAAGATTTTTTTCTACGGCCGTAAGTCGAACGCTTATGCGCATTCGATCTCCCTTTAACGAATTTTGATTGTGGTTTCCCCCCAAAAGAAATTTAAAAATGTATTTGGGAAAGTCCCGAAATATAAATGCAACGTTAACAGTCGATAAACAGGCAATGGATACCTTTTTGGAGATGGAAAATAATGTTCCGGAAAATCCATGGCTTCCTTTTGCGTCGTTGAAGTTTTTGCTGAAAAGAAAAAGTGGAAAAATCAAACGAATTATTTTAAAACAAAATAAACTTAAGAACTATTTTTTGTTTAGGAATTTTCTTTGTTTTTCCTTGCTTTCCTTGAGATACGCTATATAGAAGTTCGATTGTGTTTGTGGCTCTTCAAAAGAGATTTAACCAAAGAATAAGAGGGAAATACCCGAATAGATTCACTTTACAACTAATTTGGGATTAAAATGATGTATTTTTACCATTTCTTGGCTGGAGATCTAACAATATTTCATGGATAATCATTTGCATTGCAAGTCAGTTGGCAATAAGCTGGAAATGCGAGACTTCGAATGAATTTCAATTTTAATTTCGTCCCACACTCTCCCTTTCTCTTCCTCTCTCTCCCCCTCTCTCTCTTTCTCTCTCTCTGTCTGTCTGTCTGTCTGCCAATTTTGTGCAATGATTGTGCATCATCTCTCTTTTATTGTCATTGCTATTGCCTCCCACCACCCCCCACCCCCACATACCGCTTGGTTCTGGCCATTCCTCAGCCATTTTCCCTGTCTTTTCCCTGGACTCTGGACATCTTTTCGTCCCTTTCCGCCCTTCGGTTTGTGGACAGTTTCAAGAGCTTGTCAGCGGAAAACGTAAACTAACGGCATTTTCGTTTTCTTATTTACACAATCAATTTTGCGCTCCCTTTGTGATAGGGGGGAAAGGGGAGCAGTATTACTAGTGCACATCCTTCCAGCAATACGATATTGCGTACATCTACACGGTTAGCACATCCTTTTTATCACTCTCGACTGATGCTCTCCCGTTTTATACCCTCTCCAGGAATTATGCCAATCATTTTGGAGGTACTTCCGCACTACATTCGTATGGAGCATCCAAGGATGATTTGGCTTCATTGAAGGCAAGAAAATGGTGTCAGAGTGGGGACCAAAGGTTGCCCCTTTTCAGCTGAACTCTAGGCGATCCCTAAGGATCCCCTCCATCGACCAAAGCCCAATGTTTCAGGCACAGCAGAAGCCTTCTTCCATGTTCAATCCCCTTGCAAGGGTATCACCTGCTTCGAGAGGCCAATGGGTTCCTCCGTTGTCTTGTTTTCGGGAGTTTTCTGCTCCTGCTCCTGCTGCTGCTTCTGCTCCTGTGTTCTGTATCGTTAAGTCGCACCAGCAGTGGCGATGGCGATGGCGATGGCGATGCCTGTTGGTGCCGCGAGGGAAATTGTCGTCAAAGCGGAAAAAATGTCACATTGTTGTTTTAGCCATCATGGAGTTGCAGATTGGAGGGGGTTGGGGGATGGGGGATGGGGGTTGGGGGATGGGGAGTAGCTGCACACGTTGCATGCATGTGTGGCACTTCCAAAAGGAGTAATAGTTCCAGTTTCCTCGTTTCGTTTCGTTTCGTTTCGCTTTTCTTTTCAGTTCACCCTTTCTACTGTCCCGGATACTGCTCTCCTTTTCTTCGTCTCTCTCTCTCTCTATCTTTCTCTATCTTTCTCTTTTAGGTTTCTTTTGATGTTGACCGCAATCGCTGTCTCGTTGCGCTGGTCCCCCCTCCCCCCCTTTGGCCCTGGCCCCCCTTTTGGGTTGCCTTTTTTTTATTGTTTATGCAACTGTCAGCAGTTTTCGCTTCCAAGTTCCATTTCCATTCCCCCTCGCCCTCCGGCTTTTCCCGCCATTGCCACATTTGTCCATGTGAGCCCCACTGTCTGGTGTCTGGTGTCTGAAGCACCAGCCCTATCCCCCCCCCTCGCCACCCCTCCTCCTTGTAGGTGTTTGCTTTGTATCTGTATCTCTGTGCGATTCCATATTTGCTGTCATTTCGAATTGTTTCAATGACTTTTGACAGCCAGCAGATTAGCTTGGTGACGCCTCCTCTTGGCCGGAACTTCTGGGGCCACTGCCTCCACTGTCTCCACTGTCTCCACTGCCTCCGCTGCCTCCACTGTCCAGGGAAATCAGAGGTGTACATTTTGATCAGTCGCCATTTGCCACCATTTCCCCTCCCCTTCCACCCTTCAAGCGTTTTCAGCAGTGACAAACTTTTCGAAATATTGATTCCATTTTTATTTACTTTAAAATAGTTTTATGGGCATTACGTCTGCTTTATTGAATTCGAGTGGCTTTTGCCATCGTTTCTTTTAGGGGATATTATGGGAGAATACATAATCCTTAAAATGTAAATAATTATCCTCCTAAGTAGATTACAATCAAATCTCTTACGGGAGATAGCTGGGCCCTTACCTATGGGTCGTGGATCGTCTTCAAAGCTTTATTCAAGGCTTGTACGACCACGTTTTAAT